TTCCAAAGATCTGACCCATAATTTTCCAGTTAATTCACCCAAAATTTGCAATTTCTTTTCCTCTTCGCTCTCTAAAATATTTATTTCTTCGCCATCGCTCGTGCAATCGTTATTCATTTCTAAAGTCAACCCAATTTCTCATGCCAAGCTTTAGCAGAAGCGACGGTTGGCAACTTTCTATGCTAAAGAAAGATCAACCTCAGAATTTCATTTTAAATCTGAAAATTTATCTTTCTTATATTTAGTCAATAACTGAAGCCAATCAAGCGGCCTATTTCAATCAATTGAACCCAAAATAGAGCTGAGAAATGCTCAATGATAATTCAAGAAGAAAGAAAAATTTATCAGAGACAAATTAGAGTTTTTTACATCAAGGATCAAAACGGTTGGTTCCTTAAAAGGCAATTTTCACGGTAACAAACTTGAAACACCGACCCGGCAACGGTGAAAACGCAAAAATTGAAAAGATCGCAAAGAAAAAAATTGGGTGGAAGATAATTTATCAAATATGAAACCCGGAAAAATTTTTGATAAACTAGTTTTGCAAAGGACTCGGCCATTTCCCAAATACATTTTCAATGTTTAAATTTTATTGGTGAACTATTTATTTGATGTCAAATGCCCATAAAAGTGATAACTTGCTCTGTAATAACTTCGGTTTAGTTCAATTCCGTTAAGTGTGCTTCTTTCAAACAATCTGTTTTCTTAATCTTGTCACTTTTATACGTTTTATTTAAAAATTAATCTCTTATATTTAGTAACTGGAGCCAATCAAGCGGCCTATTTGTATTAGGTTGATGCAAAAGTCTTTTTCATTTTTTTTCGTACTTCCGTTAAAAAGTAACAAATGCACCAATTGAACAACGGTTTATTGCATTCGAAAGGCCAATTATTTTTCTGCAAAATGACATTAAAACGATTTTAAAATGTCTTATGTCTAGATTTTTTGAGAGCCTGAAGTCGGGTAGTCAAAAAAGGCGACGGCTCGATGATGCATTTTAGACGCTTTAGCTAAGGAAACCAATCTTGATGTTAATAAATAAAAGATAGAGCACAAAAAGTTAGATATTTTTTCAGATTTTCAGAGAAATTGATTCAGCCAATTTCTTTATAGAGGTTTTTATAGATTTTTATGAAAAACCCGTTTTCACTCTCGAATTTGCTTGAAAGTGAACCCAAATTGACTTAAAAAAGATGGGAAATTGAACAATAAACACTTTTCATTTAGAGCAAACCATAGGTTAATTGATGACTTTGTTATTTTTCAAAAGAAGTACGAAAAAAATGAAAAAGACTTTTGCATCAACCTAATATTTGGGAAGTGATCGAGTCCTTTCCAAAACTAGAATTATCATTGAGCATTTCTCAGCTCTATTTTGGGTTCAATTGATTGAAATAGGCCACTTGATTGGCTCAATGATAATTCTAGTTTTGTAAAGGACTCGACCATTTCCCAAATACATTTTCAATGTTTACATTTTGTTGGTGAACTATTTATTTGATATCAAATGCCCATAAAAGCGATAACTTGCCCTGTAATAACTTCGATTTAACTCTATTCCGTTAAGTGTGCTTCTTTCAAACAATCTGTTTTCTAAAACATTTCATCTCTCGAAAGCTAGCATAATTTTGTCACTTTTATACGTTTTATCTAAGCTATCTATTCTTGGCTTTAAAATATGCTTATCTATTAGATCTATTAGATTAGTACAAACGAATGGACAGACAAACTTAAATAGCTCTTCTATTAGATTGGCAACTTGAAAGTTGGTACACTTATTCATTGAACTTTTTAGAAATAACTAGTTAATGACACATATAAAAGCACCAAAAAGCCAAAAGAAAATACAAAAACCAGAAAAAAAAGCCTTAAAAGGTTGACCACGCGAAATATGAATAAACTCTACTTTGTACCCAAATTAATGTTGCCACAATATTAGGTTGGCCGGAAAGTTCTTTCCGGCCAACAAGCCACGAAGCCGCGTGAGTTTTACCGCCGCGGAATCTATTTGTTGCCGGATAAGTGGCAGGATGTTATTGATGTTGACGGTGAATATTTCGAGTAGATAAACTCTGTTTTTTTATTTGACGTTTTTGATGAGCAAAATAAAAAGTTAGATCTAGCGTCAAAAAACGGAAAGAACTTCACGGCCAACCTAATAAATTTTGGTTATGCTAGTCCAGCCAAAACATTTAAATGTGATTCCTAATGTTATTAAGTGATGTTAAACGCTATTTTTGCATTGAAAAGCTTTTCTTGGCAATTTTTAATAGAGAAAAGCAGTCAAATGACAAATTTGTTGAAGAGATGTCGACTAGCGCTCATTCAAGCGCTTGTTAAGTGAGTTGTATAAGTCCAATCGGGATGTTTTTGGTAGATAAGTGTTGCCGAGAATTAGGCCTACAATTTCCTGTATATCACTTGCAACTTTTGAAATAAATTAGACATTTCCCAGATACTCTTCCAAAAAGTTGTTGCAGTAATTCTTGGTCACCCTGTATATTATTTAATTTAGGCTTAGTGGGAAGGAAGGGGAAATGAGTTGTATAAGTCCAATCGGGATGTTTTTGGTAGATAAATGTTGCCGAGAATTAGGCTAAATTTCTCCACCAAAAACCTCCCCGTTGGGCTTATATAGCTCATTTAACATGCTCTTGAATGAGCTCTAGTCGACATCTCTTCAACAAATTTGTCATTCGACCGCTTTTCTCTATTAAAAATTGCCAAGAAAAGCTTTTCAATGCAAAAATAGCGTTTAACATCACTTAATAACATTGAGAATTACATTTAACTGTTGGCTGAACTGGAATAACCAAAATTTAAGTTGATGTCAAGCTGGAGGAGCAGGGAAAAAGGTTAAAATTTAGTCTTTTCAGTTCAGTTCATATGCATATCTCGTTATAAATTTGTTGAAAACAATCTTTTGAACAAAATTATCACAAATTTGACCGTAAATCCTTTTCCAAATCAAATTTTTTAAAAGAAAATCTCGAAGAATGACAGATTTGCTGAAGAGATGGCGACTAGCGCTCATTCAAACGCTTGTTAAATGAGTTGTAGAAGTCGAATCGGGAAGCTATTGGTAGATAAATTTAGCCAAGATTAACGGCTACAATTCCCTATATAACACTTGCAACTTTTCAAATAAATTAGACATTTCCCAGATACTCTTCCCAAAAGTTGTTGCGGTAATTCTTGGTCATCCTGTATAACTTTTATTTAGAGAACTCTAATTCAATCGGTGTATTAAATGTTTTATGGAAAATCCAAAGAAGTGTATCAACTTTCAAGTTGCTAAGCTAATATTTGGGAATTGAATTTCAGCAAAACAACAGTAAAATACGGTAGTTTTCGAAAGTTTTCATGTTTAGAAAATGAAACAGAATCTTGCCATTAGAAGAACGAACTTTCTGCTGAAAAGAAAGTAAAATTTCTGCTACCAAGCGCTACTTCACTAGCTCCTATCTTTCCTAGTTTATCAATGAGATTTACAATTCACCACTCGAGCAAAAAGGTTCAAATTTTCTCATTTATCCTCTCGTTTTCACTTTATCCCGTTTTCCTTTATCTTTATCCCTCTAATTTCCGTCAATATGATGGTTTAACAAAGAAAAACCCGAAAAGGAACCGAAAATCCTTGAAAATGAAAATGGAAAAACTGTAAACTTGAGTATTTCGATCACTTTTCGCTTTTTCGATTGATCAAAAACCTCTACTTTTCGCGTTTTGGATTTGTTTTGATAAGGATTGTTATCTTATTGGAAAGCTTGTTAAAACAACAGTTAAAACAACAGTTAAAACAACAGTTAAAACATCTAGCTTTCCATTTTCCAACAGTTAAAACATCTAGCTTTCCATTTTCCAACAGTTAAAACATCTAGCTTTCCAATCCAATAACAAATCATATCAAAACAAATCCAAAACTCGAAAAGTAGAGGTTTTTGATCAATCAAAAAAGCAAAAAGCTTGTTTATTTGAGAGAACGGTTCCTCTTTGTACCCGTGCTGAAATTGAGCTGAACGTTTTCGTCAGTTCTAAATTTCCCGTCTAATTTCAACCCAATTTCAATCAGAATTTAGTTGTATAAAGTTTGACCTTAACTTTGACATAAATTAACAGTAAGATTTTCTTTTATTAAGTCTTTAACTGTTTCTCTAAACTTTAACTTATAATTATCACCTTTGAGAAAACTTTTATTGCTGAAATTTTGCGAACTTTTTCTAGATCACCGTCGTAATAATGTCTACCGAAAGATCAACGATTTTGTCTTTATTGTTTTCTCATCGCCTTCGAATTTGTCTCTTGATGATGTTCGCATTGACTATTGCAAACTGTATGAGGCTTAATATGTCAATCGGAATCCACTGCATGGCAAGTTTAAGTTTTCAGTAATTTCTGGTAAACTGTTATTGGGGTTTTTCGGGAGCGCAAAGGGCAAGCAAAATTGGTAGGCAAAATTGGTAGCAAGGGGTAGGCAAAATTGGAGAGAATCGACGGTTGGCAAATTTTTTGATGAGAACTGACACTAACTTTCTACGCTAAAGAAAGATCAATCTCTGAATTAAAATTTGAAAATCAATCTTTCTTAAATTTAGTCAATAACTGAAGCCAATCAAGCGGTCTATTTCAATCAATTGGTTCAATAGTTATTAATTTCTAAAGTCAACCCAATTTCTCATGTCAAGCTTTAGCAGAAAGTTGTTGATTTGTATCCATTTGCCTCTGGGATATTTTGATTTGAAAATTCAAGAGAAAATGTTTTTTCTATTTGCTGACATACCTAACAGTTCCCCCTACTTGGTACCTGTTTGGTACCTATTTGATACCCACTGGTTCATCCGGATCACTATAGCAATTTATTCCAAAGATCTGACCCATAACTTTTCAGTTAATTCACCCAAAATTTGCAATTTCTTTTCCTCTTCGCTCTCTAAAATATTTATTTCTTCGCCATCGCTCGTGCAATCGTTATTCATTTCTAAAGTCAACCCAATTTCTGATGTCAAACTTGAGCAGAAAGTTGCTGATTTGTATCTATTTGCCTCTGGGATATTTTGATTTGAAAATTCAAGATAAAACTGTTTCTTATATCGCAAAAGAAGCACAAAACCGGGTTTTTCTATTGCATCGTAGATATACGTAGAGGTGATTATTAAATTTTTCAAATCATTGTAAAACTTAAATCTGAAAATTTATCTTTCTTATATTTAGTCAATAACTGAAGCCAATCAAGCCGCCTATTTCAATCAATTGAACCGAAAATAGGGCTGAGAAATGCTTAATGATAATTCAAGAAGAAAGAATGATTTATCAGAGACCCATAAAAACACTTACAGGTGAATGCCACTTTTCTAAACGAAGAGTACAATGTGACTTTGCCCAAAGAGGAGAATACGGTAAGATTGCTAAAATTTTGTTAAAAATAAATTCCCAGGGTACACTGAATTGGAGTCCGGCACAGCAATCCTGGCTTTTCTCTGCCTCCTCGTATGGCTCACTTGTGGCCACGATTTTGGCTGGATATGTGTCAGATCGGTTTAGGCCGAAGATTGTGATTACGTGTAAGATATAATTTATCAATAATTACCAATAATTACCAGGGTTAACAAAAAAACCAAAATTTCAGGCCAAGCTAAGTTTTTAGGTCAATTCAGACAAATGGTAGGGGCTAAAATTCCAAGCCAAGTTCAATTAAAAGCCATTGGTTTTGACTTTGGATTTCTTACCAACGTTTCCTTGAATTGTTGCTAACTTTCTAATCAACTTAACCCCGAAAACCTTTCAGTGGCCGTTCTCGGAATGTCAATTATGACAAGTCTAGCTCCTCTTCTTGCCGGTATTCACTATTGGGCTTTCTTCTTTGGGAGAACGATTCAAGGAATCTCTGGAGTAAATACAAAACCAAGCCAATCCCAAAAATTTCCATATTTAGGGTTTTCTCTTTCCGGCTGGGTGTGCTCTGGCAAGTCGATGGTTTCCGATGAATGAGAAGTCAACTTTGGCAGCGATTTATGGAAGTGGTAGTGGGGTTGGTAATTTATTTGATGGTCATTGGATGCATTGAACATTTGTAAAATCAATTCGATAATTTATATTACAACCTAATAGAAAGAAAAAAGTGTTGAACCGTATTAGATCAAAACAAGAACCGTATTGGAACCGTATTGGAACCGTATTAGATCAAAAACATCATTGAGTCAAGCTTTCTCATCTCCGCTTAATTTTTACAACCCCAAATTTCTCGGGATTAATTTTAGCTCAAATTTGACTTTATTTTTGCTATAAATTCTTCATTTTGTTAACCCAAGACTAGGTAGAATACTCTAGATTTAAATGATTTGCAAAGAGTTCATTTTAATACTTGAGAAATTATTGATAAACAGATTTACGATTTTCATTTCTATTGGGCTGGTGAATTGAAAACTGCCGGCTATTGTCATCTCTCACAGTTTGAGCACTTTCTTCAAAAGAAACCCATTTTGGTGTCAATGGAAAAGTTGTAGAGAATCAAAAATTAAGCTTATATCCAAATTTTCAGAACGATTCAAAAACTGATTTTCAAGAAATGCCAAATTTACGAATTTTCACAAAACTTGCATTTTAAGCTAAACTACTAAGTGTATCTTTTTGGAAATTTGGCTTTAAACCTAATTTTTGATTCTCTACAACTTTTCTATTGACACCAAAATGGGTTTCTTTTGAAGCAAGTGCTCAAACTGGGACATCTTCAGTCCTCCATTTTCGAGTCTCACACTTGTCTCACACACAAACCAAAATCCTACTACGAAAGAGGAATCCGCAATGCCTGTAAAATGGGCAGAAGTCGTCAATAATAATTGAAATTATTTGGAATGGAGTTATGGTTTTATGTTGAATAAATTTTAGTTCAAAGCCCCGCAGTTTTCAATTCACCAACCCAATAGTTTGAAATTTCAAAGATAAATCTGAAATCTATTTCGCGGGACTCGCAGATAAAGAAAACAAGAATAGGCCCTCCAAGTCAAAGATCGTTCTCCTTCACGACAACGCGCGCTCTCATGTTGCAAAACTTACTCGCTCTAAAATAAATAGCCTTGTTTGGGAACTTTAGGCGCATTCCTCATACAGTCCGGACCTCGCCCCTTTTGATTACTATTTATTCCGGATCATGGGTAATGAGCTTGCGGAAGAACACTTAGATTCGGGAGAAGCAGTCAAAAATTGGCTTTGAAAGTTTTTCGATTCAAAACCAAAATCCTACTACGAAAGAGGAATCCGCAAATTGCCTGTAAAAAGGGTAGAAGTCGTCAATAATAAAGCCTAATTTTTGATTCTCTACAACTTTTCTATTGACACCAAAATGGGTTTCTTTTGAAAAAAGTGCTCAAACTGGGACATCTCCAGTCCTCCATTTTTGAGTCTCACACTTGTCTCACACACAAACCAAAATCCTACTACGAAAGAGGAATCCGCAAATTGCCTGTAAAAAGGGCAGAAGTCGTCAATAATAGTAGAAATTACTTGGAATGAATTCATGGTTTTATGTTGAATAAATTTTAGTTCAAAGCCCGGCAGTTTTCAATTCACCAACCCAATACATAAAACTTTATGAAGAAAATTATATTGTTACATTTCTAAAGAAAATCAAATATAGATTTTTAAGGTCAACCCTTAAGAGTATTCAACTTCAGCTAGGCGGTTCTCTTGTTCCGATGGTTGTCGCTTTCCTCTGCACTTCCTCCATGGGCTGGTCTGCTGTTTTTTACCCTTTTGGTAATTTCATCAAACTTCTAACAATTTCAAAAACAATTTTAGGCGTTGCTGGTTTTGTTTATGTAGGCATTTGGGTCTTTTTCGTTTCCAACAATCCATCAAATAATTATTTCACAAGTGACAAGGAGAAGGAGTTTCTGGCGAAAGAGATAGATTTCACTGGAAACCACGATCGGAAACATCTTGATGAGGTAATAACTGCTTTACAAAGAATTTCCAAAATAACTTAAGGTTTTTTATGAGAAACCCTTTTAATTATAATCCGTCAGTTGCTGACAAAGTACCAAAGGATTATTCTAAAATTCTAGCTTCAATCTTGGGTCAGGGTTCCAGGTCAATCAACTAAAGCTAACATTAGATCAAAAGTAGTTGGTAATAAGGATTTAATAATAATGAACGTTTATTTAAAGTCAATCAAACGTAAGTTCAGTTTTATTTTTGCTTTTTCCTTAAGCCTAAATAAAACGCATGAGCACATATGATCAAGCAGTCCAACCTACAACTTTTAATAGAATGCTTCGGTAAAGTACTTTCAGAATTTGACAATGTTGGTTACTAAAAAGTTAGACAACCAAGCGGAAATACTTACAGTAAAAACAAAAACACGCAGCTTTGTACAGAAAGAATATTTAAAATTGTTAATTATTTACTTTCAACCGGGACGTGATCGTTATTTCTGTTGTTGTTTCGTTAAAAGTTTTTGTAATTCGACATTTGTGGTCGTTCATCTCTCTGTAAAAGCCATTTAAAAAAAGTGAAGGTATAGCCGTTGATGTTGATGATTTTGCGGTGAAATGGCAAAGAAAAATGATGAAAAATGAATAAAAACAGCGGAAAATGGCTTTAAGTAATAGAAAATACGGTAGCTAGTGCATTCTATTGGATTGTCCAGTTATGAATGCGCGTTTTTACTATTTTGTAAATTTCTCAAGATATCGAACAGATGTATATGAGTGTTATATATCATTCGAAAGCTGAAGATCTCCTCTACATCTTGGAATAAAAAGTTTTTGAATTCAATGAACTTTTTGGGAAATTGACTGCACAAAGGGAGAGGTCGTTTTCGAAAAAACCCATTCCAGCTTAGCTATTCCTCAAGTTTTATGGTGTAAAATAACCGCCCAGAAAAGACAGGAAAAGTAAAGATGCTCTGAAATTGTTATATTTTAAAAAATCTTGTATTGATATATCTATTGGCCAAACATCAAACGGTTAACTCAATTTGAGCGGAGCCAAAACTTGATCCAAAGGCGCCCTTCCATTTTTTGGCCACCTCTTCTTCCGTGCAGTCAATTTCCCCCAAAAGCTGGACAAATTCAAAAGCTTTTTATATCAAAATGTAGAGGACACCTTCAGCTTTCGAATAATACTCATATATATCTTTTTCTTGATTTCGGTATCTTGAGAAATTTACAAAATAGTAAAAAACGCGCATTCATAACTGGACAACCCAATAGAATGCTTCGGTAAAGTACTTCCAAAATTTGACAATGTTGGTTACTAAAAAGTTAGACAACCAAGCGGAAATACTTACAGTAAAAACAAAAACACGCAGCTTTGTACAGAAAAAATATTTAAAATTGTTAATTATTTACCAACCTTTCAACCGGGACGTTATCGTTATTTCTGTTGTTGTTTCGTTAAAAGTTTTTGTAATTCGACATTTGTGGTCGTCCATCTCTCTGTAAAAGTCATTAAAAAAAGTGAGGGTATAGCCGTTGATGTTGATGATTTTGCGATGAAATGGCAAAGAAAAATGGTGAAAAACGAATAAAAACAACGGAAAATGGCTTTAAGAAATAGAAAATACGGTAGCTAGTGCATTTTAGAATGCGTCGCCAAAATTTTTCTCTGTAAACGCTCTTGCGTTCTTGGGACAGGGTTCCAGATCAATCAACTAAAGCTAACATTAGACCAAGATTGGTTGGTAATAAGGATCTAATAATAATGAATCTCGTAATTAAAAACTCAATAAATTCATTTTCCAGGGAGCCACAAATTTCCCATGGCTTCGTCTCTTCCTTTCTCCCGTTCTCCTCGCCAACTATGCTTGTCAATTCTCTTTCCAATTCACTCAAACAGTGATGCAACTATTCCTCCCAATGTTTTTCCGAGATCACTTAGGTTTCTCAATCAAAGAGGTACTGGAAAAGATAACGATTTACTATTTATTTTAGAATGGATATTACACAACTCTTCCATTTGTTCTCAACGTTGTCATGGGTTTTGTATGGGGACTTGTAGCTGATTTTATGAAGAATAAGAAGATTTTATCTCCGAAGACTTGCGGCAAAGTTTGCCAGACAATTGGTATTCCGTTAACAAAGCAAAGATATAAATTTGATATTCAGATTGTTTCGGGACAGCTTTTGCAATGATGATGCTCTATTTCTTGCCAACTGTCGAGACTCCCGGTCGAGCTTTACCATTTTTGATTATTTATGGTAAGTTGATAACGAACCGAGCTTGGTGGTTGTTAAAATTATTAATTATTAGGTTGTTCGGATATAAACAAGCGTTGCTAAACTTATTGTTGTGCTTTTAAAACATGTCTTTCTGTATTTAAAAGTATGCTATCTTGTGCATATTTGGAATATTTTTAAAGATAGTTTCTTATTTTTAAGATCTTTTCTCTTGCTTTAGATGACCGACGTCAAATATATCAAGTTCGCGTCTGCCTACTTTACGACTTTAAACTAGGCAAAACGCAGAATCCCATTGAGATTTGGTCAAAGCATTTGGGAATGATGTATTGTCCGAAAGCCGATGCCGAGCCTGGTTCCCATGCTTTCGGAATGGTGATGAAAGTCTCGAGGATGATGAACACTCTCGTCGACCTTAAGCGGTAGACAACGATACTTTGAGGGCTACAATCGAATCGGATCCATGTCAAACGACGCGTGAACTTGCTCAACAGTTTCTATGTTCAAATTCTACTATTGATGAGCATCTCCACGCCATTGGAAAGACGGTCTGATGCGGGAAATGGCGTGCTCACGAGTTAAGCAGTGCAAACAAGGCTTCACGGGTCGCTATTGCCGGAATCCTCATCCGCCACGCTAAAGATCATGGCTTTTTTGATTCTCTCGTTACTGGAGATGAGAAGTGGATCCATTTCGATAATACGGAAATGACTAGGACCAGGAGAACGGCCAAATCCGACCGTGAAACCGGACATTCATGGGAAAAAGGTCATGCTCTTGGTATGGTGGAATAACAAGGTCCTTGTGTATTTTGAGCTTCTACAACCCGGCCAAACAGTCACATCAGACCTCTACAAACAGCAACTTGATCGGGTCAATGAAGCTCTTAAAAAGCAGTGCAAACGCTCGTTTATATCCGAACAACCTAATATAAGACTAACAGGATCTCATTCAAATCTATTCAATTTAAAACTAAATCTTACAATTTCAGGACTCTGTTTCCCAGCCGGTGTAGGCGGTTACTTTACCTCTTTGTTATCGATTTGTCCTCGATACTCGGGAACGGTTATGTCAATAAATAGGTTGATTCTAAATATAAATCAAATTTCAAAACAATAACAACAACAATAACAACAATAATAACAACAATATATAACAATATAACCATAGGGGCTGGGGTATGGCGTCTCATTTGGGCACTCCGATGTTGATGACCTTCTTGAGTCATTTGGTGAGTGGTTAACTGATGAAAAAGAGCACTTCAAAAATATTCGTGACTATTCTGTTATAAATCCCCATTCCAATTGACCTAATCACTTTGGATTTATAATAATCTAATCTACAAATGTAGTGTAACTTGGGTAACTTGATCCAAAACTCTAACCTAAACATATCTTAAACTTAATCTAAACAAATGGTTTTAAAGTAGGTTAAATTGGCGTAAAAAAAGGGATGTATAACAGAATAGTACTAAATATTCCTTTTTTTATTGTACATTTTCCTATTTATTGACTCAAAAAATCAGGCACACCTTGAAAAGTTTTCGAGATTATTATTAGCATTTAGTTGTTTTAGAGCTAGGGTAGTTTTTAGACAATTTGTCAAAGTCAGAAGCACACTTGACAATGAGCCTTTTGGCTTACAAATCTTACTAAGGAAAGGTACTAGGTCACCGTGCGACAAGACCTAGCTCAATCGTTAGGAAATCGAATGGGGATTCCGAAGCTGTAATCAAAATCTGCGCAATAGCTCGCAAAGAAAAGATAGTTTTTGGTATAAACTCGAATTTATGCGCCTTCTTTTGCTAACGGTCATGGTGTAGTGGATAGTGCGGTGGTCTACGGAACTACTCCACTTCTTTGTGGTGGGTTCGAATCCCCACTGGCTAAACATTTTTTGCTTTTTATTTTTCACAATGATATTTCTGATTTTCACAAATTCTTATAGTATTTTCTTTTCCTTTCTTATGCACTTTTTTATTAAATCATTTTAGGAGCAGCGATTACATCATTTTGTTTCAGCACTGTTAGATTATCAAATTTTCTTTAAAATTCACTTCTTTTATCAAAAAGTTTGGTTAGAAAACAGTGCGTTGGCACTCTATTTTGTTTAAGTTTTATTATGTAGCAAACAAGGCAAACTTTCCGGCCAAAAATCTTGCATTTGCGGGCTATTCAGCTAATTTTGATTACAGATTTGGAAACTCCATTCGATTTGCTATTGAATGAGCTAGATCTTGTTTCAAATCAGCTGGATCTTGTTTCAGCTAGATCTTGTTTCCACGGTGATCTAGTACCCTCCCTAGTTAAAATCTTATTAAAATATCTTTGTTCAGGGTTTGTCTTCAAAATATTTGATTCTGTTTGGATTGGCGTCTTTTCTTCAAGTTTTTGCCGGAGTGCTCTTTTTGATTTTTGGAGATTGTAAGTTTAACAAAAGAACCTTCAAGAAAGAATTGAATAAATCTACAAATCTAAAATTTAACCGATAATTTAACTTATAATTTTAAACTTTATAAGAATCCTCAAATCAATTTTTAGTGGAAATTCAAGAGTGGGCAAAGCACGTGCCGAGTTCAAACCAAATCAGTGTGGAAATTGGTGAAAACGGGGAAACGGTGGAGAAATCAACGAGATAGGGTTTTTGAATACGGTTAAGATTTTGCTTGAATGCATTTGAATAAAGAATTTACTTAAACAAAATCACAAATATCTAAAAATGCTTATGATCGGCTTGTTTTAAAGGAGATTTTCTAGAATTCTTAGAAATTCCACAAACAATTTCGTTTCCGAACTTGATGAGTACAAAGTGTCCTAACAAAAGCATAAGAAATGTTCTAAGAATCATTTTGGCTACAGTAAGCTCTATCCATTTTTAGCTACAGTAAGCTCTATCCATTTTTAGCTACAGTATGATAATGTTCTAGTTCTAGTAATGTTAAGGGCTATTTTCGAAGAAAAGGAATTTTAGGTAATATTTTCATAAGAAAGAAATGTTTCATAATACAAATGGCATTGATAGTGAGGTAAAGTGATATTCAAAAAGATTCACAGCATCATCTCATTGTCAGTGAGAAAAAGTGAGATCACAGCACGAAACACAAGCACTTTCTCCTTTATTTCCCTTTTCAATGATAATCATTTTATGGAAAATGAGCCAAGAAAGGTCATCAAATGCCACAACAAAGAAAAAAACGTCCAACCACCTCTCTTTGCCAAACTTTTCGTCCATTTAGTGAACTAACGATCGTTGATGATTTTCGGAGAACTATTTATGATCAACTCTCTTTCTATATAGATCTTATTTTCCTTTATCCAAAGTATTTTCAATGATTCCACTTATGAAAACTTGTGTACAATACAATAATTTCTCGTAATTTCGAGGAAAGGGAAGATTTTTCGAGAGAAATGATCACAAGGATCTCGTATTTTAAAGGCGATTTCCGAATAAACAGATTATCACAATCAATTTTTTTCATCGATTGATTGAAATGTTTGATTGAAAGTATGGTTTGCCGAAAACAGTGTCTCATCAGTCTCATTCGGTTTTCTCATCGGACAGAATCCTTGGTCTTGGCTTTGGTCTTTGATTATGCAGAACGGGGATGACTTTCATGCAAACCCGGCTTACCAGACATGAATCTAGATTGACTTGGTCTAACCTAACCTGGCTGGACTGGTCTGTTTTGGCTTACAAGTTCAGGAGCAGGTCGAATCATCCTTGATTGCGCAAACTTATTGCAAGAGAAGGTTTCGATTTATTCTTTTTAATGGTTACATCTTCCAATTTGGACAGAACTTATCGACCAACCCAATAACGGAATCTTGCCTTCAGTTTTTCTTCAGTTTTCTTCAATCAATATGTGTCTGAGATCTTTCATTGTCTTGAACTTTCATCTTTCAAACCCCAGCAAATCTCAAATCAAATAAAACATAGATATTTAACTAAAAACTAATGAGATTTCAAAAGGTGACAAGTTTTGGAAAAGCATTACAGTGAAACAAACTCTAAAAAGAGTTATGTTTTCATTTTTTCAGAAGTAAAAGTTTTGTTGCGTTGATAAAACTATATCTTTAGAGATTGTCGAGATCAACAGCCTATTACGAAAATAAACCGATCAGAAATCACTTTACGAGCATGTGATATCATATTATGCTTGTCATACTCATCTTTATTTTCTCTCGAAATAGAAATCCTTTCTTTCCCTAACTAGGCATTGATCAAAAACCATGTGTGGCTGAGAAAATTTTCCTTTTTCCTTTTTCTTTTCCTATCAGTTTCGTTAGTTCTTTGTTCAAATTGTCTTTAGAAAAAAATGACCACGAAAGTGTCACCATCTGATCGAAAAAAAGCGCCACGTGTATTTTCTTTTCATTCCTACCGTCTTCGAATATGTATTCTGATGATGTTAGCGTTGACAATTACACATTGTATGAGACTGAACCTAACAATTGGAATTCATTGCATGGTACGTTCAAGTGAATGCAATAAAAGTACAAAGGAGAAATTTTGACTTACAAGAGAAGGCTAACTGGCTGAGCTGACCAAATGATATGCGCGTTATAAGCAGCCGAGTTATAAGCGTCTAAAGTTTTGTTAGGACTCTGAAAATATGGTCATTTGGGTTTTAGCGGCCTCCTTGCGGACCCAATTAAGTACAGTCGTACAGGTCCAGCTTTCGTTTCCACGGTCAGACCTCACAAGTTCGATCCCCTGGCTGAGCGTGTGAGAACAAGAAATATGTTAAGAGCCCACAAAGAACACTAGTCAGTTCTTCTCGAAAAAAGCAAAAGAAAAATCCAAAGTGGCGGTCGAACTTGTGAGAGTCTGTGGGAACGAACGCTGTACCACTCGGCCACAACTGCAACTGATTCGGTCCCCAAGAAGGCCGCTAAGACCCAAATGATCACATTTTCAGAGAAGCTTAAGAAGCTTATAACTCCGGACCGATTGTCATTTAGTAAAAACGGATTATACCGTATTCTCTCTAATAGTGGTGCACCCCGCCGAGCCAAATTGATGACTATTTTATGCTTTTGAAGTTTTTGCAGAAGCTCAACACTCTAATCCCCCACAAGATCTCATCGTCAGCTACATTTTCTCATCCCACATCAATAGATTCTGATAAGCGGTTCTCGAGATTTTGAGCAATTTAGGCAATGCTCAGGGTGCACTATTATTAGAGAGAATACGCTAGATTCGGAATAAAATTCTGCGTCGAATGGTATAGGTCACATAGCATTTGGCCGGCTCAGCCAGTCGACCTTTTAGCCAGCCAGTCGCCAGTCGACCTTCCGTTGTAATACATACTTAAGTCTAGCTTCTTTAAGACTGGCTTTTGACATTCCCTGTTTTGCCTTTGCAAACCTGATCCAGACCTAAAGCCTTGCCTGAGCCTTTGCTTGGCTTTAGCCTCGTTTCTGGTCTAACTTACAACCGCTAGAACTTGGTTATAGTAAAGCTCAAATCAGCTCAAGTTGCAAGTACAAACTATTTAGGTAAACTCTACTTTGCTGCACGAAAAATACAACACAACTCTTCATAAGGGATCAGAAAATACGGTAGTATTACTGTTAAAACTTGGCTAAAACTATCCAACTTGCTCTAACGAGCTCTATTTATTTAGGGATCTCTCGACTGGAGTCCAACCGAGCAATCGTGGATTTTCTCAGCCTCTTCTTACGGTTCTCTCGTTGCCACTCTTCTCTCCGGTTATGTTGCCGATCGATTTCAGCCAAAGATCGTCATTACACGTAGGATTCTGCAATAATCTCATTCTATGATAATCTCTTGACACAACTTCAGTGGGAATTCTCGGAGCAGCCATGATGACAGCGTTGGGTCCTCTGTTGGCGTCGAATTCTTATTGGGGCTTCTTTTTGAGCAGAACGATTCAGGGAATATCTGGGGTAAGAAATTTGAGGTTGAAATTAGATTAGCTTAAGATATAATCAGTGTCAAACCCAAAATAATTGTTCTGTTAAATCTAGGGTTTCATTTTCCCAGCGGCAAGTGCGATGGCGAGTCGCTGGTTTCCTCCGATGGAGAAGTCGACTTTGGGATCTATTTATGCAATGGGGAATGCGGTTTGTTCAACAATTACAAAGCTTACATTCAAAATGTTCAATAATTTAAAGCTTTAACTGAAATATTATCTATAAATTTAGCTAGGCGGCTCAATGGTGCCAATGATCGTTGCCTTCCTTTGCACAACACCACTCGGATGGCCGTCAGCTTTTTATGCGTTTTGTAAGGGATAAGTTTAGTTTACTTGAACCAGCTCTATTTCAGCAATAGCAGCCTTTTTGTATATAATACTGTGGATTTTCTTTGTCTCAAATCATCCGTCATCAAACCGGTTCATTTCGGAACGAGAGAGGGAATATTTGGAGAAAGAGATTGATTTTCATAGTGGCGTCAAGGGGAACCACGAGGAAAAGGTCAGAGTTTACGGTAACGATATTGAATGATAAATCAAAGACAATTAAAGAACATAAAGCAAAGCTCACATACATCAAAATTAGTGCAAGGATGAGATAAACAAAATGATAAAGTCGTCAAGTTGTCGCCAAGTACTTGTCTATAATGGAGCCTTAATCTGCTTAAGTGTTTTGTCAAGTATGTTCCTTCGAATTATCTAATATGTTGGGCTTTCAATGAGAATGAGAGATTAAAATTCAAAGCGATCACTTCCACTTTATATGAACATTCAGCAGTTAGCCTGCGCCGGACGTAAATTCTGAGTGTTCTCCCTCCTTGCCAAAGGCATTTTGCGTTTTTCTCGATGCACAATTTACCAATTGGGCTGTTTTTGGTTTTATTCGATGCGTCTAACTCTTCTCTATCCAATGAAACCAAAAACAGCGAAATTGGTAAATTGTACGTCAAGAAAATGCAAAATGCCTCTGGCAATGGGGTACTCAAGGGGCGTGGAGGGGCACTCGGAATGTATAGCCGGAGATTAACTGCTGGATGGCTGGGACCCTACGGAGTTCAAAGAACCATGAAGGTTATACTTTTTATGTTCAAATCAGATTTGTAAACTTTTTAGTATTTTAACTAATAAATTTAACAAAATTGACCTTCGCACTCACTGCAGTTGACCAGGTTTTCCCCATAAAACCCCCGATTTTCTTAATTTCATTATTCATCTTCAAACTGAGCAGTTTTACAATTTTTCTGCCAAATGTTGTTAGTTCTAGCTTTGGAAAAAGTTTCTATCAAAAAACAAAGCCGAAAAAATCATTCTGAGCAGCAGGGGAGCCGAGCCAACAACCTTCTCTCCAGCGCCAGATTTAAAGTCGGCGCCTTAGATCACTCGGCGCCTTAGATCACTCGGCGCCTTAGATCACTCGGCGCCTTAGATCACTCGGCGCCTTAGATCACTCGGCGCCTTAGATCACTCGGCGCCTTAGATCACTCGGCGCCTTAGATCACTCGGCGCCTTAGATCACTCGGCGCCTTAGATCACTCGGCGCCTTAGATCACTCGGCGCCTTAGATCACTCGGCGCCTTAGATCACTCGGCGCCTTAGATCACTCGGCGCCTTAGATCACTCGGCGCCTTAGATCACTCGGCGCCTTAGATCACTCGGCGCCTTAGATCACTCGGCGCCTTAGATCACTCGGCGCCTTAGATCACTCGGCGCCTTAGATCACTCGGCGCCTTAGATCACTCGGCGCCTTAGATCACTCGGCGCCTTAGATCACTCGGCGCCTTAGATCACTCGGCGCCTTAGATCACTCGGCGCCTTAGATCACTCGGCCACGCATATAAAGGAGCTTTAGTAGTTTCGCTTTTTGCAAAAAACGGTCTCACTAATCCCCAAAACTAACTTGATTTATTAAAATTAAATTAAATTTTACACCTATAGCCAAACTTTCAGCCAGATCGGTTCAGCTATTTTTTCTAAAACAGCGGAACAGACAGACCCACAGACACGCATATTCTCTCGCTTATAATTAGTTAAAATTTGAGTTATTAGGCAATTTACTCTAATCTTCATTCAGATTACCTTTGTAATGGTTGAGCTTACTTTCAATCGATTTACAGTTTATTTTCCTAATCTTCTTTCTATTGTTTAATACAAAGCCTTGACTTGTAAAGAGTTTTTCTTTTTGTAACTTAAACATTACAACCTTAATACAACACTACAAGAAATTTAGAATCTAACTATTTTAGGGCCCTAAAAACTTCCCATGGACGAAACTCTTCTTCTCCATCACCCTTTTCGCCAACTATTCTTGTCAAATCGCGTACCAATTCACGCAAAGCACGATGCAGCTCTTTTTACCAATGTACTTTAGAGACAATTTGGGCTTCTCGATTAAAGAGGTAACATCAAAACAAGTTGCTTATTCTCTTTTTAAGAATGGTCTCTACACAACCCTCCCAGCCGTACTCTACGTTGTGATGGGGCTCGTTTGGGGTGCGCTTGCTGATTTTCTCAAAAAGAAGAAAGTTATGAGTAAACAAATGACGACAAAAGTTTTTCAATCCATCTGTGAGTGGATTAGTTTTTTTGGCTTAAACAAAAAGCTTGTAGCTTCCTTCGGCACAGCGTTTTCCCTGTTGATGATTTATTTGATTCCATCGGAGAAACATCCAAATCTCGTTCTCCCGTTCTTGATATCATATGGTAAGTGGAAAGAGATATTTTCAAGACAATAGCTGAAAGATTATAAGTCTTTTGAGCATAAAAATTGTATTTTCCTTTAAAATTGGGTTCTTCAACAAGCCTTGAAGGCTTGCTTAACGAGAATTAATGAGATAAATGGGTCGCGCAACTCCAAGAGCTTCATCTAGCCTCCAGAGTATCGAATTCAAATGAACTTTTTTTATTTAAAAGCCAAGATTTTAAGCTATCTAATGATATTAATCACTTACATTTTTCGTTTGAAAAAGTCGATCAAAAACCTAATCGAAACTGAACGAGACAATCCTTATCGAGAATTGCCTCGTTAAGTCTCGATCATTTTGTTGACCCCATTTTTCAAAAGAAGAATAGAAGTGATTAATATCATTAGATAGCTTAAAATTTTGGCTTTTAAATAAAAAAAAGTTCATTGAAATCCGAAACTCTGGAGACTAGATGAAGCTTTTGGAGTTGGGCTACCCGATTTTTTAATCTGTCTCGTGAAGCAAGTCCACTTCTGAGCATTGGGAACGGTAGAGTCTATAAATCACTTCAGTTACCGTAATTTAAATGGAATTTTGTTATTTCTACCGTAATTTATAATCGTAATTGATAAAAAATGGCAAGAACAACTCAATTTTCTTACTTTCAGGAGTCTTGTTCCCAGCGGGTGTCGGCGGTTATTTCACCTCCTTGCTCTCTGTCTGCCCTCGTTTTACAGGCACTGTGATGTCAATTAATCGGTAATAAAATCTCAGGAGCATTTTTGAAATCATTCTAGGGGCTGGGGAATGATCGCACATTTGGGCACACCGATGTTGATGACGTTGTTGAGCTATTTGGTGAGTCTTTAGGAGAAAGTTAATATTTCCTGGATAAATCTTGTTCTTATTAATCTTTTCAGCAAAATATTAGACAAATCTTAGTGATCTTTATCAGTTTTCGCCAATCTCCGTTAACCAAATCATTCCAGGATCTCTCCTACAAGTATTTCATTATGTTTGGAATGGGTGCGGCACTCGAGATCATCGCTGGATCGTTGTTTATTGTTTTTGGCGACTGTAAGTTTTAGAAATACCAGTTTTATCCACCTCGAGTGCATTAAGTTATCTGAAATCTTATACAGAGTGTTCAACAAGTACCCGGACTCGGTATTTTAAGCGTAACTCACCGCTCAGATATGAAATCATCTCACGCTTTATTTTAATAGAAAATTTAATTTAAAAATTTTCTACAGTGGATTCTTAGGTTTGGATAAAAAGCTTTTCTGCCTTTTCTAATAAAATCTCAAAGTTGGCAGCTAGGAATTGCTGTAGCACTTGTTTTTGGAAGATTTGTTGCAGTGCGGTACTTGTTTTTGGAAGATTTGTTGCAGCGCGGCACTTATTTTTGGAAGATTTAACAAAATTTTGCTTTTAGCGCTAAATTTAATTTTATTAAGTTACATTTATCTGAAAATTAAAGATCCAAATTTAACAGAAACTGAAAAATGAAAAATTTCGGTCATCTTTTGACAAGCCAATGCTTAGAAGCAAGACCCAAACCAAGATTCCAAAAATAGCAAAATTTGGCCTAATTCAGTGTCACGTTACCCTTCGATTTGTTTGATAATGTATTGCAAAAACAAAAACGTTCAAAGAAATGCTCAATCTTTGGCGTTTTCTTGGAATGAAAAGCCGCCAAAAACAAGTGCCGCGCCAAGCAACTCCTGATTGCCAACTTTGAAGTTCTGTACAGGATATCGCAAAAATTCCCGGACTGGCTTTTGGTGCGTCAGAAAAGTTGTTTTGCCAGTGGTTTTGTCGTCTATTTGATCTGTTTTATGTTTTTTGATCTTTAATTATTGAATTGTTGGAATAACTGTTGTTTTTCAGGTGAAATCGTGTTGATGGGTAAAAATCAGAGGTGCCAAGTGATTCTCGGACTCCACAAGAGCGGAAAGATTTTCATCGATCGAAATGTGAAAATTAGCGCTCAGATCTATCAACAAAAGGTGTTACGGGATGTGCTAGGGCCCTGGGCGGCAAATCATTTTGGGCAAAACGGATTCACGCTTCAACAAGACTGAGCACCGGCCCATGGAGCCCATGGAGAGTATCACCGTTCAACAATGCGCGACCATCATTAAGAACTTCCAAAAACGTCTGAAGAAATGCATTGAAGCTGATGGTTGAACCTAATTGAGTGTCACATTACCTTTCGATTTGTTTGATAATGTTTAAAATCTATTGCAAAAACAAAAACGTTCAAAGAAATGCTCAATCTTTGGCGTTTTCTTGGAATGAAAGGCCGTCAAAAACAAGTTCCAGGCAATCCTGGCTGCTAACTTTGAGGTTCTATAAAAGAAGGCAGAAAAAGTTATTTCGCCAAACTTAAGAATCCAGCGTAGAAAAATATTTAAATTTTCTATTAAAACAAAGCGTGAGATGATTGCATATCTGAGTGCTGAGTTACACTTAAAATACCGGGTAATTATTGAACACCCTGTACTTTACGGTTTATATTCTTCCAAAGGGTGAAGCTTTACAAGATAAGCCGATGTATGACTTTAGGTGAAGTTCAAAATTGGGCCAAAATCGACGCAGACCAGGCGACTCTCGACGGTGAGACAGCAGAGGAACGGAACCAGAAAATTGCTTGATTCATTTGACATTTGTTCTTTTACTTATTTTTTAATTACTTAGCCCAATATTGGGTAAACGAGCTTTAAAGTAAAATTAGCTAGGAATGCTTTATTTGTTTTATAATAAACTTTTCACTTCTTTTAGAAATAAAAAATCAAAAAACTCAGCAAAGTGAAAATTTGGGTAATTACATGATCCAAATCGCTCATTACGGTTCTCCAAAATCTCAGCTTGAACAAGCTTTTTTGAAATTCTTACAAGTCTAGACAAGTAAAAAGATTTCTTGATGTAACTGACAGTGAGAATGATGAAACTGCTTCTGGCTTGTATTCTGGTGGACTTGCTCTTTGCAAACTTTTCTCCATATCCCGATGTTATTTGGAAAAGCTGTGGCGATTGCTTTGTGAGTGATTTGAGAATGTAACCTGTTACAGCATTTTGTAGAAAAATAATAGGCCTTTCTAATGAAGCCAATTGTAAATCAATTGATGAATTTTTTATTTATAAACGCTAGTTGAAAAAAAGTGTCTAAAGACTTATCGGCTAACCTAATAAGTACCAATGTACCCTTCACATTTAGTGGTTTCTCAAACGAGTCAATGAGCGTTTGCCGGATGGAAAGAAAATCCCCGGCTACATTTTATCTCAAATAGAATTCGACAAGATTTTGCATCGAATGTGTGCTGACGGAGAGTACAGTCATCGAATTAAAACCAGAGATGTACAGTACTGGACAATGAAATATGATATTTGAAAAACGATCGTCACTTTCGCGCGTCTGTAACTCCCTTGTCTTTGAGTTTAAACTATTAGTGTTATACGTTTTCTGAAAGCTCGTTTCCAGGGCTACACAATGGTAATATTAATATTTAGAAATACGGTAACGACAAGGGAGTTACAGACGCGCGAAAGTGACGATCTTTTTTCAAATATGATATTTCATTGTCCAGTAGTGTACGTAAAATGTCAAAGAAATGGTGAGATGCTTGCCAAAATTCAGGCTTCATCATGTGATAGATTTCTACGGCCTTTTCGTAAATATTTGAGACATTATCGAGAAGTGATTAACGAGGGTGGATTGTATAAAGTTACGATATGCAATCGATACATGGAGAGGATAAAATTGGGGAATCCTGGCTGTCCAGCGATCTATGATGATTGATAAATTGTTTTCCTTTGAATCAGAAAACAACTATAATAGTACCTAGTAGACTTGGTTGTCGTTCGGGCTTTTTTCTTCGAATCGAATCGATTCGGTCTGGTCCAGACCGAATAATTGATAATTTGTGTAGATTTTAGACTTTTAAGCGCCATCTGACGAACAGTAATTTGCTTTAACTTCTATTCTGGACGTCCTAAGTTGTTCAAATTTCGCTAATTCTTGACACTTTTTGTTAAACAATTATTCAATTGTTGTTTTGTTTAATTGACCGAATCGATTCAGTTCGAAAATCACAAAATCTCGGCTCAAATCGGTCCAGATCGAAAATTTCGAATCGAGTTTCGGTCTGCTATAGAATTTTTTTAAGGTGCCATTTCTTTTTAAGTCAGCAAATTTATCGGTTAACTTCACTGCAATAACAATTGGCCAACAGTTAACAAAATATATCTAACAATTAAACAAAACAACAATTGAATAATTGTTTAACAAAAAGTGTCAAGAATTAGCGAAATTTGAACAACTGAGGACGTCCAGAATAGAAGTTGGAGCAAATTAATGTATTCGTCGTCATATGGCGCTTAAAAGTCTAAAATCTACACAAATTATCAACTATTAATGCTTAAAAGATAAAAACTGACAAGAAAAATTATTTTGCAGTTAAAAAGAGAGCAATTACGCGACGCGATAACGACGACGCCAATAGGAAAGCAACGTAGCGTCAAAAATTCTCATTTAACAAAACAAATTAACATTTAATTTTCAGACAGACATTCAAATTGACGTCACATTTCAGACCGAAAACGGAAAAACTTTGAATCGAATTGGTTCGAATTGGTTCGAATTGGTTCGAAGCCTTCTGGATCGAAGCCTTCTGGATCGAAGCCTTCTGGATCGAAGCCTTCTGGATCGAAGCCTTCTGGATCGAAGCCTTCTGGATCGAAGCCTTCTGGATCGAAGCCTTCTGGATCGAAGCCTTCTGGATCGAAGCCTTCTGGATCGAAGCCTTCTGGATCGAAGCCTTCTGGATCGAAGCCTTCTGGATCGAAGCCTTCTGGATCGAAGCCTTCTGGATCGAAGCCTTCTGGATCGAAGCCTTCTGGATCGAAGCCTTCTGGATCGAAGCCTTCTGGATCGAAGCCTTCTGGATCGAAGCCTTCTGGATCGAAGCCTTCTGGATCGAAGCCTTCTGGATCGAAGCCTTCTGGATCGAAGCCTTCTGGATCGAAGCCTTCTGGATCAAAGCCTTCTGGATCAAAGCCTTCTGGATCAAAGCCTTCGAATCAAATGGACCAAAATTTTTCGAATCCAATCGAATTGGATCGATTGGATTTGAAATTAGACCAATTCGATTTGACTCGTTTAAAAACCAGGTCCAGTATTTAGTTGGTTTTTCAGTATCTCGCGTTTCCAAGCCAATAAGCGCATTTTGAAAACAGATTTACATTCAACATGAAAAACATGAGATAAGCTAGATCTTATTGAAAGACTGACTTAAAAATTAAAACCGTGATCAATCAAAGAAGTTACCATTCGTCAATTCTATACCCCAATTCTGATGTGTCCTCAAGATTCAACTCCGAACCTCAAAAAGCCTTTAGTTTGATCTTCATGTAACACCTAACACCTTTAAATCACATATCATTGAGTTCACACCTTTTTGTTTAGTTTGTAGTCGCGGAAAACATGCAAATCCGTGCATGACACAGAGTAGTCTCAAAGCGGGAATTGCTTGAGGTTGAATGATTTTTGAAGTTTTCTTTAGTCAAAAAGATGTCTGAAAAGATTTCTGATTTGCCACTATTTTCACTAAAATCTCATCGACTGAAAATATGTTTTCTGATGATGTTTGGTTTGTTTGCGGTGGCGTCGATGAGGATCAGTTTAGGGATGGCGATCACTTGCATGGTAAATCCAAGTGGGATGTACTTGAATTCAAAATGATTACATTTCCTTGTTTTATCAAAGATCCAATATTATACAGATTTGAATTTCTTTGTGTACAAGCTTCTTTTTTCGTAAAAGTAATTACAATAAATCCCGATAGATCCCGATTACAATAGATCCCGATCTCTTTATCTTTAAAACAGAGGCGGATCTCTTTATCGGTAAAACAGCGATTCAAAATTTAATGTTATCAAGTCACAGTCTGGCTCAACTAAAAGATACTTCGTTTAGCCAATCCTAACAAATCTAAACCCCAATTTTCAGGGCCAGATCTAGCCCAGTCAAGGCAAGATCCAAGTACTTGGTTTAGCCTATTTTGCTTGATATCCTATCCCCAAGAGGCTTAAGCCAATTGTAAAAATGCTGCCTAAATTCACTAGATTAAACTAAATCATAAAGTCAAATCCTTAGGTTAATTCTACAGCTTTTGTACGACCTAGTGAAGTCAGAATTTCCGAAATCTCTTCAAACTTCACCGCTGAGTATCCGAAATGCTATCGACCTGTAGATGCCAGTGAAGCAAAAAGAGATGGATATGGAGTAAATGGGGCTTAATTTTTATCGAAATATCACTTTTTCTAGGGCCACCTACTTTGGAGCCCTTCAATGCAAGGGCTCTTATTCTCGGCGAGTTTCTGGGGCGGATTGATGACAACAGTCTTTTCTGGATATCTTGCTGATCGTTTTGGGCCGAAAATGATTGTCATGTGTGAGTTGATAAAGTTAAGAGGAAAATGTTGATATTTCCAGTTGCGGTGATTGATATGTCGATAATGTCGGCACTTGGTCCCTTTCTCGCCGAGCAGACCTATTGGGCCTACTTTGGGACGAGGGTTGTGCTGGGAATGGGAGAGGTCTTTGGCTTAATTTCGCTTTTACTGATAAAAGTTAGATCGCTTTTGTAACTAAGTTTCCTATTTTTTATTTGATTCACGTTTTAACCACATTCAGGGCTTTGTAATTCCTTGTCTGAATAGCTTGGCAGTTCGCTGGTTTCCACCAAACGAAAAGTCGACACTTGGAGCCATTTATACAACAGGAAATCAGGTAAAAGAATTTTAAAACTGATAAAAGTTAGACCGATTTTATGAGCAAATTTGTAACTGGATGAAAGCAAATTTGAGCTTAAAAGTCGTAATTTGAGCTATCGTTACCTCAGTTGGGGCTAACAGTTTCTGGAGTAATCGATCTTGGGTTTTAAGTAAAACAAGCTGATAAGAGCTATCTGACGGCGGCTCTTATCAGCCGCTCTTATCCTATCACCTAAGGCCTTCTACCCAGCCCAACGTTGATCTGTTTCCATAAAAAAAAATTTTGAGAAAAGAATTCCCCCAAGAGCCGAACCTGAGCCCTTGACACTGGCGTTGGCTTTAGGGACGGGCGGACTAACCATTCCGCCATGCCTTCCTGTTATCTCTCAAGGCGGGCGAGCTAATAGCTGCTCGCACCGCAGAAAGGGTCGCGATTCAGCCTCGATTTTAACTTAGAATTTCTAACCAGGGAACCTTCCCAAGTTACCCGCGAGTTACGATATGAGGTAGGTGCAAAATCAGTGTGCCAGAAAATCAGTGTGCTTCATTTTTTCGAAATTTAAACGGCTGTAACTTTGTCCGTTTTGCCGATTCGCGGTTTTTGAAAACAGTTTCTGAACGTACATTTTCAGGCCTTTCTTTTTGCACCTACCTCATATTGTAACTCGCGGGTAACTTGGGAAGGTTCCCTGGTAAGGGCACGATTTTAGAAAAAAAAACGGCTAAGCCAAATAAAAAGTAACGAAACAAAAAGTCTGATATTTTGATGTAGTTTCTAGTGTTGAGATGGGAGGAAAAGAGGAAATGACTTCCTCCAGGCCCACCAAAAGCGTGACGGAGTCTTTATTTATATATATATATATTGGGTTGGGGAGAATGAGTCGGCGCCGAAATTTAAAGAAACTTTTTGCACCCATAAAACCTTCTTTAAATACACGTTTTGTTTCATCAAAATGGTCCACTATTTCTTTACAAAATGGCTTTTGAGAGATTCCACAAAGCTTTTCTTTTTTGGGATTTTATGGATTCCCAAACACAGCTAATCAAAATGACAAAAAGTCCGACTCATTGCTTGAACAGTTTCTTCCACATAAACCTCCTTTGGTGTTTATATAAAAAGATAGAGCACACTCAATTACATAAGTTACCAAATTTTCAGGAAGATCCCTCCAACCGTTTACTCTAGATGACAGTTTATCGATTTTGTGAAAAAATGATCCTTTGTTGAGTTGAGGCGCTGTTTGAGTTCTCTTTTAAATATTATTTTGTAGAGAATTAGTTACCCTTCTACGGATATCAAACGCATATCATTTGACAAAGTCTGCTATAAGTTTTAGAAATTTCTTTGATTTTCGGCGCCGACTCATTCTCCCCATCCCAATATATTGATTATTAAAGAACACGTATACGAATAAGTTTTAAAATTTTCAAACTTTATTCTATCCCAATAAGAGTTGCATTGCATTGGTGATTTTTCAGATAGCAGCCAGTTTGACCTCTGTCCTCGTCGCCGTTCTTTGCACTTCTCCCCTCGGCTGGCCTGCCATATTTTACATACACGGTAAATGACCAACTTTTCTAAAGTAAATAGTATACAATAGTAATAAAATTTAGGAATCTATGGCATAATTTGGTCAATTATTTGGAAAGTTTTTGTTTCTAATACGCCAAGCAAAAACAAATGGATCTCGAAAGATGAAGAGGAATTCATTGAACGAAAATTGGCAACAAAGAAGCAATCGATGACTTTTGTGAGATCTGGAATGACATTGAGAAGATTGTTTTGCAGAATCAGAATAAAGTTCCTTGGCGAAAACTTGTGTTCGGAAAGGTTCCCGGTGCCGTTTATGGATGTCAATTCGCGTTCAACTTCTCGATCACTCTTTTGCAAGCTTTTCTTCCTACATATCTCAAGGATCATTTGCTACTGCCAATTCATCTCGTGAGTCTAAATCAGAGACTCTTCTGATAGCCTACAACATTTTTTTTCAATGACGATCTTTCATTTAGAACGGTATCTACACAATGATCCCGTTTGTAGCTCAATTTGTCCTCAAAATCCCATTGGCGATGCTCTCCGATTTTCTCAAGCAGAGAAATCTCGTTGATTCGAATAAAGCTGTGAAAATTTTTCAGGGAATCGGTAAATTGAAAGCTAAGACAGAATAAGAAAAAATTTAGGTTCTTTTGGCATTGCTCTTTCAATCCTGGCATTGGCTACAATTCCCTCATGCGAACGACCGTATTTAGCATTGCCGATTTTGACGGCAATTGGTAAGCAGAAGTTTGCTATGAACTTGACTAAAGAAGTGGCTGACTGTGCTAGGTTTGGTTAAAAAGTCCCTATGAACGAGGTGCTCTTTGTGCGGCTGCAAAATCGGCTGCAAAATGGCAAACCGCTCTGGTATATATGTCGATAACTTGGTTTTGTGAGAATCGGTCTGAATTCAGGGCCCTCCTTTAAAAGATCTATTTCTTGGATGAACTTCAATTATCCACTCTGTTCAACTATTCGTTGCAGGTCTCTCATTCTCTTGCGCGATTCCCGGTTTCTTCACTTCAACTCTTTCAATCGCTCCTCCTTACACAGGCACAATGTCCTCAATTGGAAGAGCTTATTCAACTTTTGCGAACATTTTTGGATCACTTCTAGTTTCATTAATTGAATACATGGTAAATGACCCAAAAATCTGAATAGCTCATCAAAATATTCTAGAATTGGCCTCACAAATGGATTATCATCTTTTCTCTTGCATCTCTGTTACACGTTTTATCAGGAGTTAACTTTGTGCTGAATGGGCAAGGTAACTCTAATCGTTTATTTAAATAAAAAGAATTTTAGCAAAAGTTCAATCATGGGTCTATCGATCGTCCGATGAAAAAGGAAGCATTGAAAAAGATATTCCAGACATTACAAAATGGGAAAAGGGCCAATCAGCGTAATGTTGACATCATTGTGATCCATCTTAAACTTTAAAAAATAAAAATAAATTATCTATATATGAAATATTGAAAAACACAGAATTATCAAAGGTTTTCACAACAGTAAAAGAAAAATTGCACTGTTTTTGAATCGAATTGTTCAATCAGTTAGAAATAGAATGTAGTTTTTTTTAGTATTGAATGGCATAGAATGCAATGCTTTGTGAAATTTACCCTTTGATGGTACACCTTTTACAAAATAGGAAAAGGGCCAATCGGCTGAATGTTGGCATCATTGTGATCCATCTTGAACTTTAAAAAATGAAAATAAATTTTCGATTAAAGGGGAGGTGGAGGTAATCGCGGCCGGGTGACCATAAAAATTTTTTTACGGCAACCACCTGTTTTTTGATTTTAATATCGCTGATTTTATTATAAAAAGAATAAAAATCACCCGGTTAGAGTGATTTGATGGGTTTACAAATTTTTGGAGACGCTGCAAGGCTTGGAGAAAAACAAGATCGTCATTCATCAGACACCTCAGCACAGTCTAGATCGATTGAGTTTTAATTGCAGATAAATTTAAAAACAAAATAAAAAGCACAAAAAACAATAAAAATAAGCTGTTAATCTATAATTCAAATAGCTTTCTCAAATAGATGCCTTTTAGAAAGCGCATTACTCGAGAGGAGCACACTCTAATAGATAGCTTAGGGTGTTTTGATGGCCTTTTGCATTATCTAAACATAAAATCTCCATCTGGAAAAAGGCATTTAGAGATGTTAAAAACCAAAAGTGTAGATCGAAAGTCTTAAGAAAACAAAAAGAAAACATAATGCCTGACTTTTGCTTTACTTTCGCACTTACCTTGTAGATGAACTACGCGAGCCGCGAGCGTCTCCAAAAATTTGTAAACCCATCAAATCACTCTAGCCGGGTGATTTTTACTCTTTTTATAATAAAATCAGCGATATTAAAATCAAAAAACAGGTGGTTGCCGTAAAAATTTTTTATGGTCACCCGGCCGCGATTAATACCCCCCTCATTAGTAATATAGTGTTCATTAGTTAAGATAGTGCTCATTAGTTAGCTAGAAATCTCATTAGACGGGATAAATGCGCTTTACGTTGAACCATATCCACAAGGACCTCATAATCCTTATCGCTTATATCAGTGCGAGTGAAAAGTGCCGAACAATTGCATCAGAAATCCCAATTTCATCATTATCTGGATCAGACAATGATAAAATTGTCATCAAAGGGCACTAATAGACCATTTTTTTTCGCAAAATTTATGCAAATTCTTTCTAGCTACAGCCTTTTTAGACTCACTCACCACAAAATACGTGATGAACCCATTGTAAAAGCGAAATTTTATCAATAGTTTTATGTTTCATTGACTCTTTTGTGCTAAAAATACTCGTAGATTTGAATTTTTTTTAAACTTGATAAAACTGGAGCTTATATAACAATTAAATTCTTTGTCTAGGTACTTCATCAACAATATTTTTCAATTTCAGAACAGCTGAGCTTCAAAAAGTCTTCTTTAACAATAAAGAAACAAATCAGATTGAAAATTTTCAAATATTTCTCTGAAAATGTCTCATCCATCGCTATTCTCGTTGAAATCACATCGATTACGAATCTGTCTTTTGTTAATGATTGGACTTTATGCGACGGTTTCAATGAGAGTAAATCTGAGTATGGGAGTGACGTGTATGGTTTGTGATTGATATTCGAGTTGATTTTAAAGTCGATTTAGGTAAACACAACTGCAAATGCTAAGCCTGCAACTTTATCGAATACGAGTCAACAAGTGGAACCGAGTGGGACGTGTTATCGGAGATACGATGAAGTGTCCGCGAAAGAGGATGGATATGGGGTGAGTTTTGGTTATATTCGGTTGAAGAGTAGGAAATGGCGGCGTCTTCGGACGAAAAAAATCGACCTTTAGCATCTCCATTTCCATTTCTCAAAAACTGTGCATCAGATTGGGATGAAATTTTGGTTTATAATCAACAAAACTTCAATTTTTATTAGCAAAAAGTGATGGTTTAGTTTTTTTTTCAAAAATTCGTCCGAAGGCGCCGCCATTTCATACTCCCCAACCCAATAGCTTTAATGCTTTTACATTTCTCAAACCTTTAAAAGATCATTGTCTTTCATTTAGGGTCCTCTCCTTTGGAGTTCCTCAATGCAATCACTTCTATTTTCGGCCACATTCTATGGTGGATTGGTCACCATTGCCATTTCTGGCTATATTGCTGATCGTTTCGGTCCAAAGATGATTCTACTATGTAAGTTTAATAGATTCAAACTCCACTTTCACTTTTTCAGTTGCTGCTATCGATTTCTCGATCATGACAATGATGGGCCCGTTTCTTGCTTCGAATTCCTATTGGGCCTATTTTGGAGCTCGATTTATTATGGGGCTTGGAGAGGTGAAAGATCTAAGTTAAGATTATAAACTAGTTATGCATATATCATATTTATAGGACTGCAATAGGACTGCAGCCTCTAATAGGACTGCTAGGACCATTTGTGGGTATTTCGTAGCCTACCTCTTTGCTATCTAAGTAATTGTGTGCTTGTTGGGTGAATATCTTTCAATTTCCTACATCAATATGATTCTTTTCCTGAATTTTTGAAAGAAATATCACTCCTTCGCGATTGAAATTTTTACATGAAGTTTGATTGATTTAGTAAGTACCTAATTGATTTGTTTGGTCGAAAGAATAGTGCTGCATCTCTAATAGTAAAGCGCTCTGAGCCATCACAAAAAAAATAGTACTGCGCAGTACTAATAGAGTGAATACGATAGTCAAAATTTGAACCCCAAATTTTGATTCAGGGCTTCATTTTCCCGTGTCTGAACAGCATGGCCGCCAAATGGTTTCCACCGAGTGAGAAGTCGACTGTTGGAGCTATTTATACAAGTGGAAATCAGGTGCAATTTTGCTGATAAATATTCTTTGCAACAAAATATAGCTTCATACAGTACTGGACAATGAAATATCATATTTGAAAAACGATCGTCACTTTCGCGCGTCTGTAACTCCCTTGTCTTTGTGTTTAAACTATTAGTGTTATACATTTTCTGAAAGTTCTTTTCAAGGGCTACACAATGGTAATATTAATATTTAGAAATACGGTAAAGACAAGGGAGTTACAGACGCGCGAAAGTGACGATCTTTTTTCAAATATGATATTTCATTGTCCAATAGTGTAAGTGTTCCATTTTCAGTTAGCCGCTGGTTTCACCTCATTCCTTGTGGCCGGATTGTGCTCTTCACCGCTTGGATGGCCGTCGATCTTCTACATTTTTGGTTTGTACCTTGACTTGTACTAAGCGGTGAAGTATCATGGATCATAATGGATTTCAAATCCATAATAGAATAACAAATTGTCCTGTTAGTTGTAGTAAACAAGTAAGTAAACCAAGATTTTTGAGTTTGACATTGGCTTAAGCGACAAAAGATGAGCCTATTCCGATCTTCTAGATGTTTTGTTGTTTTCTTGTCTTGTTTTGTCTGGTTTTTCTTGTTTTTTTTCTTGTTTAGTAATGTTGAGGTATCAAATCTCAAGACTTTCTTTCCATTTTATTGACCCTAGAACCAAGAACAGTCTTGCACGCTGCTAAAACAAAAAGTCATTGCCAAATGAAAAATTAACAAATAGCTCTTGAGTTTTTTGATCAAAAATCATTAAAAAGTCTATATTAATATGTATAATAATCCTTTAAATGCCATTATTAAACTTTAAACTCAAATTTTCAGGCAGCTTAGGCATCATCTGGGCAATTGTTTGGCAAATCTTTGCCACGAATTACCCAAACGAAAACAAATGGATCTCTGAAGAGGAGAGGATCTACATCGAGAAAAATCTTGCCAACAAGCAGCAATCTCAATATTTTGTGAGTAAAACTTCAAAAAAACTTTTGAAAAATGCTATTCAGCAAGAGAATCGCGTCCCATGGAGAGAATTGCTCTTCGGTAAAGTCGTCCTCGCCAACTACACGAGTCAATTCGCTTACAACTTCTCAGCCTCAATCATGCAAGCCTTTTTGCCGACTTATTTCAAGGATGTTCTCTTTATTCCGATTCGTTTGGTGAGTTCTGATCCACTAAATTGAAAATGAAGATCTAGAACGGTTTATTCACAATGGTGCCCTTCATTTCTCAACTGGTTTCAAAGAATATTTTTGGCGTGTTGTCGGATTATATGAAGAGACACGAGATTTTAGATCCCGATGTTTCTGTGAAAGTTTTTCAAGCGATTGGTGAGTTTGATTTATAACAAATGGAGCTAACTAACAAGGAAAGATCTACTGGATGTGCTGGCCAAAGCATTCGACGCAGAATTTTACGCTGATCATGATGTTGCTTTTCTTTTTTGCTACGGAGCACTCTGTCAAAAGTTATATGCGTTTAAAGTTTTGTAAGGAGCTTCAAAAACCAAACCGCGAGATTACAACCCTGTCTTCCGCGAGCGCAGCAATTGCAGCGGTGGCCAAGTGGTAGTCAGTTAGAGAGAAAAGTATTGATTGCCAAGCTACAACACAAATACACTCGAACAGCAAACTTAGGAGCCATTGGATCAGCCGTTTCCCTCATCGCTCTAGCCACACTTCCATCCTGCGAACACCCATATATCGCTCTGCCCATTCTGATGGCTTACGGTATTAGAAGTTCTAGATTTCCCTAACTGATTCTTTAGGTATTTTCTTCTCCGCCGGAATTTGTGGTTTCTTCACATCTTTGCTTTCAATCGCTCCCCCGTACTCGGGCACAATGACCTCGATCTCGATGACTTATGCCACAATTGCTAACTTGAGTGGCCCGATTCTGATCACATTTATCGATTTTATGGTAGGTTATGAAAAGCTGTAAAAGTAATGGTATTAGAAGTTTTGATCAGCCGTAGATCTGGCTATTGTTTACAGAATTGAACTAGAGTTAATTAGGCTAATTGGGCTTAACTATAATATAAGTCTAGGGCGTTGCAAGACTTGTACCTGATCTACATAGAATAGTATTATAATTATCACGTTTTAAATGATACTTTTGTGTCTCTTAGCAAGTAATTAATCCATTTCAAATATTTAATTGCAGGGTTGGCCAAACAAATGGATGATTACCTTTTTATCCGCTGCTTCTTTTAACATTTTATCTGGAATATTTTATGTATTTTATGGAGAAGGTAAACATTTTTTGATTATAATCTATCATAAACACTTTTCAGCTCGAGTGCAAGAATGGGCAAAGCCAAACGAGAAAGAGAAGCCAAGGATTTGACTCAATAAAAATTGAACAAAATTGTTTTGAAAACTGGGATGTACTGAAGAAAAGCTTTTTACTGAAAAGTTCTACAAAAACGATGCAAGATCAAGTTAAACTTTAGATGATTTGAACATATTTAACAATATGTTATTTACACGAGCTAACAAAATATGACCAACATGAGTTTTCACTGCATTTTCCTCGATCTCCTGACATGCTGTGAGTACACTGACAATTAGGTTAACAAGCAAAATTGTGTACGAGTCAACTTTCGTCAGCTTGACATTCACCAAATGAGTTCTTAAAATCAAGTCGTATTCCAGTCTTGCAATGAATTCACCAAAATTATTTTCTTCAAATGTCAGCCATGTCACATCTTTTTCGTCAAACTCTTTCCAATGAAAATTGGACCAATTTGGACATTTCCTTGATCTTTTCAGCGCAGCCCAGGCTTAGATTTGCTGGATAATCTGACCATCTATTGCTTCAGTTTTAGTCATGCAAAGAAGTAATTTCAAAGCCCATTCACAAGTTGTCCGTAGTGATTCCTAGTCGTTAAGGATTTCCGAATCAATTTCAGTTTTTCTGATAACTTCATGAATTTTCACAGAGCTACCTCACTCCAAGATGTAGTTAAGAAACAAAAAATCGGGTTTTTGTTGAGTGAATCTTGGCAAAAATCGACTTGGGAAATAGGAATTGTAATGATCTTTGAATTTATTTTCAAAATCTTGTTTAAGAGCATAAAGAAAGACTTCGATGTGGGCTCCTTGTAGAACAAAGCGCTCAAACAGTTCTCCAGTGTTCATTTCTTTGAAATAGTGATCAGTTGTTGTTTCATAAAATACACTATCATTGTAATTGATCTTATCGAATTAAAATCAATGAAAAAGCCAAATTCCAAAGTGAATCCAAACTTTGGTAGTGCGTCTTTTACTTCACCTTTGTTGAAAAAACCTTTTTTGCTTTGATTAAACTTGTCGATTGTTTTTTTGGTATGCCGCTCAACAAAGGAAATTTTTATTCGGGTGCAAAACTGGAACAAAAAGAAAGAGAAACCTTTTAGTCGCGGCCAAATAGATATTCATATTCAAAAGTCTTATACCATTCGATTGTCAGGGCCCTGCCATCTTTTTGCCAGACGTATTCGCCACCTGCCTTTAGCTTATAATGGTCGTAAGCACAAGAGTCGCCGTCCCACCTGAAAATTTGTCGAAGTTTCTGGTAGACAAAAAGACACAATCTACTGTGGACATTTTAATTGTCAATAAACATGCTTCAGGCGGTCGGTTTGACTGTCTTTAGTGCATACCGTACTGCCTCTAATAAACGGCGTTTATTATAGTTATAATTTCGTTTATAATTTCGCAAGGCACAAAATGTTTAGCTTTTTTCAAGTAAAGATGGACTTTGACCAATATTTTTGTTTTTGAAATAGGTACCAACTTAAAAGTAACAATAAAAATTAGCAAAACGAACACGTTAACAAAAAATTATTTTTGTATTAAACTGAATCTCTTGCTTAGAGATTCAGTTTAATACAAAAATATTTGTCCTGAGCCTGAGCTCTTTGACGAAACAGTATGCTATACGGTAGTTTAGCGCAAAATAGTATTTGACAAAATTAAAATTTAGCCGCAAAATAAACGCCGCGGCGTTTATTAGAGGCAATACGGTATTTTGAGCATAAACTTTTTTAAAAAGGAATTTTCCTGAATGAATCAAAAAGGCCTAGAGAAAGATAATAAAAAATGGAAAATCTAGTTGATTCTGAGCTGAGATAAGAAGAAAACAGCCGACCCGCCGGCCGACCTTTGAAATTTACATTTTTTTGTATCGATTTTTAAGAATTCAAATGAAATAGTCTATTTGTTTTTTTAATACGCAGCCTTTCGATCACCTCTAAACATTAGCAAGAAATTTTGGATCTTATCAGCCTCCAATCAAAAACTTGTAACTACTTAAAAATTGAGAGAACCTTGTCTAATACTTCCTATAAGAGTGACTCAAGTGAATGCCTATCACCAAACCGTCAGCCGTCATTGCTAGCTTTTTTGATGCTAGAAACAGTGACAAATCTCACCTTAAATTCTTCCACTTGCTAACAGCTAAGATCATGGGCGGTTCGCCCGAGAAGAATTCGGCTGAGTGAACGGATTTGAGGTGATTGTAGACCTTTCTCGCCGCATCCTGGGCATACATCGAAAAATCATAAAAGATCTTGGTGTCCAATTCGATGTCTTTCTTCTCATACCTAACACCTCCGGGGAGTTTTTCGAGGTAGATCATGTAGGTTTCCCAGGCTTCTTTGTTCTTGTTCGACAGCTTGTTCCTTCGATCAAAAAAACCTTCGAGATTTTCCCAATCGATCTCAACATTTGGAGGCTCAAACCCTGAAGTGGTGAGAGCACGATCGACTTTGTCTTTGATGTCTTTGCTGTCTTTGATGATTGTCTTTAAGCAGGCGGAAGAAGGGCGATCTAATGAACAGTGAACATAGTAAAATAGTGAACAATCAGATTTGCATTTGTCCTTTCCCATCGACATAAGACTGAACAACAAAAAAAAACCAATGAACTGTCTTGGTGGTAAACTTTCTTTTCTGATCTTCTTCGCACAGTCACTCTGAAAAATGAAATGTTTAATTTTATCCAAATTTTATTCACATTTTAGAAATAAAACCTTTCAAAATTTGATCTTTTTTGGGATCAGTCTTAAGCTAGGGTTTTTTTGCTGATCAAAGTCGTAATTGTCAGTTATTTGGTTCTTATCGATTTTTACGCTTTTGAAAGTTCCAATACCTTTCTGAAAGCTAAATTTCTTTAAACTTCTACGTCAAAAGCTGAAAACTTTCTAAAACAAAAACTTTTTAACGCTAAGAAATCAGAAATCACTATGAGAAACCGGAAACTTTATAAATTTGCCCACAAAAACTTTTGTAATGAGTGTAAATGAGGTTTGATGAATTAAATGACAACCTGAAAAACCACGTAGTTCTTGTTTTTGTAGCCAAATTCGCTTATGAGACGATTCGTGTCGCCCGATGATCGCCCGATGAGCGCATGATCATCAGTTTTAGTCACGTCATAAATGGCAACCAGGAAATTGTCTTGGTATTTGCTTTTCAGATCCTTGTGGATCGTCGTGGCCATCTGCTCGTTTGTGCCGCCAGCGTCGATGCCGGCGCGAGCTCGTTTCTTGATCGCTCGCGGCCACACCAACTCCCGGTTCTCTTTAAGCAGTTGGGTGTCAAGACTTTGGATGACGGTCTCGAATTCCGACAGAATCTCCCCGTTTTTTGACACTGGCTGCACACCCTCACAGTTCCCCATGAGCACTTTTAGGGACTGCACATGGTTGAGGATCCAGTTCTCGAAATGCTGGTATCGGTCCTCGTCGAAATCAATCAATCGCTTGTATGAGTCGAGAATCGATGTGTGTCCCGAGATTTGATCAAGCAATCGTTTAGCCAAATCGATCGGCGAAACGTTCTGGCACCAGGTCTTGAACTCTTTCATGTTATTTGGCTGTCTATGTTCGAAAAGTCTCCTCAGTTTGCTCATTCCGTTGTCGATCGGATACTGGACGTTGTCACGGTAATTGTGAAAGTCGACTCGGTATTCAATCGCGTCGAATTTGCGAGCAATAAAATGCTTGAGCTTGTCGAACTCTTTGACCATTGTTTCTTCGAGTTTTTGCAGCATTGTGCCCACAGAGTCGGTGCCGAAAATATCGAAAAGATCGAAGATGGCCCCGAAGATCGTGGCCGCCCCTTTGATTGCTTTCAAAAATTTGAGGCCAATGCCGAGAACATTGTCTTTTTTGCCTTTTTTTAGTTCGATGATTGTATTCGTCGTCTCGCCGATGGCTTTTGAGGAGGAGGAAATCTGATGGAACACATCATTTATTTGGATTCGACTTTCCGGGGAACTCAGATTGACTTTGAGTGTCTGAAAACCGAAATCGACGTAGCCGATGATCATTCTTTTTGCGACACTTGGTGAAGTATGATTACATTGACATTGTTCTAAAACATCAAATGAATAACCACGGCATCCATCCTCAGTAATCAAAAGTTTTGTTTTCCTTGTTTAGTTCGATTAAACCTAGACTTTTTAGATCTTTACATTCATAAACACTAAATTGTTTCAAATTAGTCAAGCCTAATATCATTAAATTTTTTTTTATTTCGTAAACACTGATCTTTTACAAAGTAGTCAAATCACAATGTTTTTGGCTGTGTTGCTTTTTTTGGCAAGAAAGTATGTTAACTGAACTTGTAATTCGAGAATATCAATACTAACCCAAAATAGCCTTAAGACTTGAAAGAATGACTAAAAAATCAAAACTTGAGTTGAATGTATAAACTTTTTCCGCTAGATTTAGTAATAGTTGGTATTGTCATACATACATGTATCAATGGGAAAAAACGGGGTAATAGAGTAGTATCTATTAGGTTGGTGCAGATGAAACTTCCGTCACACTTGTTTGTTTATATTTTGAACCTAATAAAAGTTTTTATTGAAGATATTTGTCTATCTGAAAGAGCGTCTCTTTGCGCGTCTTTTGATATCTAAGACTTATGCGTTTTACTTAATTTGAAGTAATTTTTAGCTTTTAGAAAATGGTTGACGAAAAATTTCGAGTGCGGGTTTGCTTGTTGTATGATTTTAAACAAGGCAGAACGCCTGCAGAATCTCATCGTGCTCTGTGCAAAGCATTCGGCGATGACGTGTTGTCCGAACGTCAATGCCGGACTTGGTTTCAGCGCTTCCGAGATGGTGATGAGAGTTTGGAAGACGAAAAACGCGGGAATCCGCCTCAAATTGTCGACAACGATGAGTTGAAGAACGCTATCGAATCGGATCCATGCCAAACAACTCGGGAGCTTGCAGAGCTGTTTGACTGCGACCATACAACCATTCTCCGCCATTTTCACGCAATTGGTGAGACGAATCAGTGTGGAAAATGGGTGCCACATCAGCTCAGCGACGCAAACAAAGCGGCTCGAGCTACAACGGCTGGAATTCTCGTCCGCCGCGCAAAGACCGCCGGTTTTCTCGACTCCATTGTTACGGCAGATGAAAAGTGGATATGTTACGACAACACAACAAGAAAACGGCAGTGGTTGGACGCCGGTGAACGCCGGTGAACGCCAAAACCGACTCCCAAACCGAATATCCACGGAAAAAAGGTGATGCTTTGTATTTGGTGGAATAGTAAAGGTCTCGTGTATTTTGAGGTGCTGGATTCGGGCCAAAGAGTCACGGCGGATCTCTACAAAGCCCAATTGAGCCGCGTGGACCAGGCATTGCGTCGTCAAGGCAATAACACGGCGACTACAAAATTCCTCCACGATAACGCTTGACCCCACACCGCAAAGATCACTCAGCAGAAAATCGAGGAATTGGGCTGGGAAGTTCTGCCTCATCCGCCATATAGCCCGGACTTGGCCCCATCCGACTACCACTTGTTTTGGTCGATGCAGCACTCTTTAGCAGAAAAAAAAATTCAAAAACCGCGAAGAAGTTGAAATCTGGGTGTCGAACTTCTTCGAGTCGCAGTTGCCCGAGTTCTTCGAAAAGGGCATCCATTCTCTGCGTGGAAGATGGCAAAGAGTCATTGATAATGATGGCGAATATCTTTTGGATTGAGGTTCTGTATTAGGATTTTTATAATAAATTTTGTTTATGGTTCCAACGGAAGTTTCATCTGCACCAACCTAATAAACAAATATTACACCAAGTATCTGGTATTGTACTGTATTGTAATGTTGTACCAGGTAATAATAAAAATATTAGTCTTTTTTTGAGCTTTGAAAAGAAGCCAACCTTCCGCTCTTTTCATCCGCGAGAGGATCTTGTTTCTGGGGCGACATTCCGAGAAAATAAGCAATGAATAAAAGATCAGAATCAAAAGCATCGTTGAAAGTTGCTTTTATCGAAATTTGTATTTATTTAGGTAAACAGGGCTGATCTTGAGTTTTCTGGCTTTTTTTGTTGTTTTTTTGGCGTTTCGTGCAGCAATAAAACCATTTTTTTGGGACAAAGGTAAATGTGAAATGAAGTAAACACAAGTGCATCATATGATGCACCATCAGAAAGAAGTAGGGTTTTCCTTGGGAAACTTATTGCTCAGCTCAGGAAAATAATAGGAAAACAGCTTCAAACCTAACAAAAAAATTTCTTTTATTTGTCAGCTTTAATCCTTGCAAACGTGAAGAGTTTTACAAATGCCACCCCTTACAACAACGACGCTTCGTGTAAACATCGTGCCTGGTCTTGGATGGGAATGGCTAGATCGGTGTGGGCAACTGGACTGATGGGTCTCCTGTTGACTATCCGGCACCATTCTATTTTAGAACCAGTTCTTACTATTGGCTGGTTTGTTCACTTCATTTGCAAAGACAATGTTCAATAGATGACTAATGACCCGTCCTGTGGTTGGCATCAGTGGGCGGGGACTACTTTCGACAACATCAAAGCCCACTTTGTTTGCAAGATGTCCTGTCGACGTGCGGTAAAGAGACTCAAAAAGAAAACAAAAATATTAAATTGATTTCTTTTCGGGAATTAGTAAAAATCAAGCCTTGTAGCGTTTGATTACTTTGTTGACGATGCTTTTTGGATATTTCGTGATTTTTACGATCTCCGGGCTATTTTTTTCCGTCTTGGTATAATCCGATAATCACATCGCGTCGTTGTTTGGCGTTCATTCTTTCGAATTCGAAAATTTCGTTCATTCTTTCGACAAAAAAAGGACCGACAGATGTTTTCGTTAAAAGTCTATTGTGAATCATCAGTAGTACCAAAATTTGGTTCCTATGAAGTTAGCACTTTTAACGATTATAAAAGGCGATTAGCCCGAGACTAGTACATTTTTATTACGATGCCAGGAATTCTTTAACATCTTTGCCTTATCGTAAATTTTGGAGCAGCATCATCAAAAAGTATTGAAAAGTAAAAGCAACCGGCCTTGTCTTTGGTGCAATTGTGACAAAAACTAATGTTTATTAACTGTTTTCCATTTCATATTAGATACAGAAACTTCTTGCTGATTGTTTACTCTTGCAAAGACTTTTGTCTGTGTTTTCTCTAAATAAGTACGAGTGAGTTGACTTGGCGCAACAAGGTGAGCCGGGATTTCTCTAAATTTTCAATGATCATTAAAAAGATTCAACTTACTTTCGCATTGCTTTTAGTATCAAACGATGCAAATAGTTTCGATAAAGTTGGGAAGAGATAACGATGCTAAAAGATGAGATTTTTGTGTGAGAATAGGCGATACCGATGACGAAATTGTTGAAAGCTGAAATGCATTTTTAGCCATTTATATTCATTTGGTTTCATTTAGTTTATTTATTTATTTAGATTTTTTTTTTGTTAAATATTGGGTTTGTGAATTGAAAACTGCCGGCTATTATCATATGTGACAGTTTGAGTAAAGAAGTAAAGTGGTATTACAAGTTTTGATCAGCCGTAGAAATGGCTATTGTTTACAGAATTGAACTAGAGTTAATTGAGCTAGTTGGGCTTAACTATAATATAAGTCTAGGGCGTTGCAAGACTTGTGCCTGATCTACATAGAATAGCATTATAGTTATAGAATAGTATTATAGTTTTTAAATGATACTTTTGTGTCTCTTAACAAGTATTGGGTTGGTGAATTGAAAACTGCGGGCTATTGTCATATGTCACAGTTTGAGCACTTTCTTCAAAAGAAATCCATTTTGGTGTCAATAGAAAAGTTGTAGAGAATCAAAAATTAAGCTTATATCCAAATTTTCAGAACGATTCAAAAACTGGTTTTCAAGAAATGCGGAATTTACGAATTTTCACAAAACTTGCATTTTAAGCGAAACTACTAAGCGTACCTTTTTGGAAATTCAGCCATAAGCCTAATTTTTGATTCTCTACAACTTTTCTATTGACGCCAAAATGGGTTTCTTTTGAAGAAAGTGATCAAACTGTGACATCTCCAGTCCTCGATTTTTGAGTCTCACACTTGTCTCAAACACAAACCAAAATCCTATTACAAAAGAGGAATCCGCAAATTGCCTGTAAAATGGGCAGAAGTCGTCAATAATAATGAAAATTATTTCGAATGAATTCATGGTTTTATGTTCAATAAATTTTAGTTCAAAGTCCGGCAGTTTTCAATTCACCAAGCCAATATATTCATTTGGTTTCATTTAGTTTATTTATTTATATTATTTTGTTAAATAGTTGATAAATGAATAACCTTGCGGAACAATTACATTCTCATAAACAATATAAACAAAAACGGCTAACGGTAGAGCGATTGTCATCACGGGGACCAGGAACTAAAGATCTAGAAATTGAGCTTAAAAAGATTTAAAATTAGAGTAGTTCATTTTCCGTTTAACTGCCAATAAGCACACAAAAAAACGAAATTTGACCAATTCAATGGTTATTTGTAGGGTTTTAGGCCAAAGGATAAAACTTTACCTTCTTGTTGTAAGAAATTCTGAAAAATAATAGCTGTTTAAGTGATCAAATCTCGTTTTCTGCTATACAACGATTAAAAATTAGACCGAGAAATAAAAAACTTTGATTTCAAACCCCTTGAATCAATCCTTGTAAATGTTTTCGATGTAATTTGATCGTCTTTTGCTCATGTAGGTATTCTTATCGCTGAGAATTTGAAAGCAATGCCAAATCGTAGCAATACTCTAAAGTGGATAGTATTATAGATTTAGATTAACAGTTAAACTATTGGGTTGGTGAATTGAAAACTGCCGGACTTTGAACTAAAAATTTATTCAACACAAAACCATCAATTCATTCCAAATAATTTCCATTATTATTGTCGACTTCTGCCCATTTTACAGGCAATTTGCGGATTCCTCTTTTGTAATAGGATTTTGGTTTGTGTGTGAGACTCAAAAATGGAGGACTGGAGATGTCCCAGTTTGAGCACTTTCCTTAAAAGAAACCCATTTTGGTGTCATTAGAAAAGTTGT